TTATTAAAAAATGAAAAAGCTAACAACCTATACTAAAAAGTTAAAAATTCTCTTTTCTTTCTATTTTTTACACATATTTTTGTAAAAAATCAAAAAGTCATTCGAAACATACTAATTTTTTTTACATCATATATTAACCAAAAAATTACTAAAAAAGCCTGTTTCCAAATGAGGCGTTGCTAACTGTATAGGCTTAAATTACATTTATTATATAAAAGACAATAAATATGATTTAAAAAAAAGATTATTTATGTTTTTTTATTTTTGAATAAATGTAATTCAATCATTTGACTACCAATGTGAAATCAAACTAATTTTTTACATAAATATTATTCCCAATATAGCCTACAACGTGGATAACTCAGATCATTCCAAGTTGACCTCGAAATAGACTTAAAAAGTCTTAACAACACCAATCCAGTTAAAACACCCACTAGAGAGAAGATCAACCCAAGTAAGTAATACTGTAAATCTTAAGTCTTCTCATTTTCAATCTCTCTATGAATTTATTCCATTATAAGGGAACTAATTGAATCATTGGAGGGTTTTTGGATAGAACCACACTGGTGTCACTAGAGATTTATCTATTCCTTTGCAAGTTCATTGGATCAACTCAAAATCATATAGATGTGATCTTCATCAGTATTTATTCAACAACATAGAGAGTAATTACTACAGACTTATAATTTAAATTCTTAAATTTATCAACAATTTTTACGAAGTACTAAACTTTAATTTAATGAAGGAAAAAAAACAAAAAGAAGGAAATGTATATCTATTATTGTCTGAGAAAAAAAATGAGAAGTGTATATATTATTACAAAAATTCTACTGTCCAAAAAGGGAATAATAAATAAAATAAGAATATCAAATCTATGGTTCACATTTGAAGTTGATGGTGTGAGTTGTACTTGTCACTACAGGAAATTCGTTCTTTAGCGGCGTTTTTAAAACGCCGTAAAAAGCCTGAAAAACGCCGTAATATCTTATAGTGACGTGTAAAACTTTCGCCGCTGATAGAGCCGCCGCAATTGCTACCCAACATTTAAAAAACGTCGCTAAAAATATTAGATGGCGTTTATTTTTAGCGACGTTTTTTAAAATGCCGTAAAATCTTTGACGACCGTCTCATCCTCCGTCCCAAATTAACGTGTGACGTCATTTAGTGGCGTTTTTTGAAAAAAACGCCACTGTTTTTTTTAGGCCTCGTTTGGCAAGAGGCTATTTTAGCCAATTAGCCAAAAAGTTACTAAATTAGCCAAAAAGCCAACAACCCATACCAAAAAGTCAAAGATTCTCTTTTCTCTCTACTTTTTGCACATCTTTTCGTAATTAGCCAAAAAGTCATCCCAAACATACAAGTTTTTTTTACCTACCTTTTTAGCCAAATAGCCAAAAAGTTACTAAATTAGCCTGTTCCCAAACGAGGCCTTATTTTTTTAATTTGTGCTACTCCCTACAATGACGCCATTTTGTGGCGTTTTTTCAAAAAATGCCACTTTTTTCATTTTATGGCGTTTTTTCAAAAAACGCCACTTTTTTTTTTATTTATTTTTTTGGGTGGGGGGGGGGGGGGGGGGTTCCCTGCTGCTGATGCAAGAATATGAAATAAAATACCATTTTGAATGGTAAAATAAATCCATTCAAAATATATATAAAAAAGAGTAAATAAAACGTGATGGTCATTGTGATTCAATCATTGATCATAAATTTTGTTGAAAATTGATATTACAGAGTTATGTGATTACTAAGACCAAGCAATCTGCGGGTATTGCTATTATTCCCTCTTTTTCTTCTGTTTTGTTCTTCATTTAAGAAAAATAAATAAACAAAAATAGAAGTCACAAAGTGAAAATAAAACCACCAATTTCCAATCAAAACATAGCTGTCACTTTTGGTACTTCAAAGAACATCAAAACATCTTGCTCTTCTCAAACCATTCTTTAGCGGGAGCCTCGTTCATTGAACCTACTTTAGCAGCAGTCTCTCCCACTGACAATAAGAACTCTACAAAAAAATATTTGAAGAGACCCAACTTACTGAGAATACTAAGAGATAGTTCTGTCACCATATCTTCAACCAGCAGGCAAAATTCCCCAAAACCTGTTCAAAAGTTCAATGATGCAAACATAGAAGATGTTCTGGCTTTTTCTCTGTTCTACACTCTGCATCTTCTCACCATAGAGCTCCTCAAAAGATCAAACCACCCTCATTAACACATCATTATTCATTCTTCGTCATTGTCACCTCTGTTTTCAGCCACATTCACCCTCTCCATAGCATTGATATCTGGTTCATCTCCTAAATAGCAAATAGATGTATCTGAGGATGATCCAACAAATCCCATTTCATGTGGTGTCAGACCATGGGATGATGGGTGAGGAATTGATTGTAAGAAGTTGAAGTAAGCATATTTTACATCGAACTGCATATCATACCCTGCAAGATAACATGTGCGTTAGATTCTTATACTCCTTTTTTTAAGTCAAAGCACGAAAAATGAAGAAGCGTCAAATTCGTAATTACAATAGTTCACTGCGATGGTACGCGTCCTTTGCACCAACAACCATGAAAAAAGGGGAGCAACATGTCACAGTTGTCTAAATCCACCAAGCAAATGGTTGATATAACCGCAAAAAGTGGGAAAAGTCAATCACTTGTAACATCCTTCATTCTATTGCACATATCTATGGAATGAATTGTACTATTTATGCCCATGTAATTCATTATAAGTTATCTTAATAATCTAAATCGTTTTTTTTTTTGTAGTCTACGATAGTATAATCAACGAACAAAATTTTGATACAGAGTTCCGATACAAAATGGGATCACGACAGTTAAATGGAAACAAAGATAATAACTAAGATTAAAGGCACACTACTTTTAGAATAGTAGTTTCTGACTGACAAAGATAATGAAAAAAAAATGTTAACATCATCAATAAAAACCTTAAGAGAAGTTTCTGACTGAATGCTATATACCCCTTAAAAATGAACTTCTCAACAAATTTTCCTTTGTTGTTTTCCCTGCCTGTTTTCCACATCATTTTTATGTATCTTCTCAACAAACCATCACACTGCAATTATCAGAGTATAATCCGTTTAGTGAAAGCACATGGTCAGGAATATCCCTACCTGTGCTCCAGAGCTTGAGTCTTGCTTTGCAACTTCATCCAGAAAATTAGTTGGAATGTCTTTTTCTGAAATAAATCCAAAATTTAAGCTTTTCAAAAAATCCAGAAATCACAGACAAACAAATCAATTCAATGGAAATTAACCACTAGTGAAAAAGTAAATAACGCAAGTAGTGCAGATAGTGTGGGAAACACAAAACAACCTTGCAAAAAGGGTACTGAAACCTCTCCTCCACCAACTCGCAAGACATTCTCCTTCAAATCAATTATGCACTGCAACCAGTAGCTATTTAGAACTAACTATTTAACCACTCTGGATTTTGGAGAAAGTCATAAATTTAAACAGCTTGAAAGAATAACCATGTTACCTGGTGCTTTCGAAGCATATCCAGCCCAAAAAGGAAATCCATATTAGGAGAATCCAAAACCACGAAGGAACAATGGTAAAACACATTCCCAACCTAAAAATGTTTTTTTTTAAAAAAAAAAAAAAGAAGAAAGAAGAAAGAAACAAAGATAAAATGTTAGCATACAAGTTTACAATAGTACAAAAAAGAGATACTAAACTTTCATCTCGCATAGTAAAGAATTTTTTTTAAAGAGAAATCAGATACATGGTTATTTAGAATTTTTTGAAACAAAGAATTTTTTTTAAAAAAGAGATACAATAGCTATTTAGAATTTTTTTTTTTTTTTAAACAAAGATAGAATTTTTTCTTTAAGAATTTTTTTTAAAGAGAAATCAGATACTAAATTTTTTTAAAGAAAATTTAGAAGATTGTCTCTATTGGAGCTCTTGGTTCTTTAGCTTGTTTGCAGTTTTTAGGTAGAAAAGGTGTGTGTTGAACCAGGGCTTGGCCCTTTTCCCCATTTACAAGGCTTGTTTGCACTGTACTGAATTCTTCAGCTAAAACATTATGTAATTTCCTACATGCTATTTTGTAATCTTGAAGTAAACAAAGTCTCAAGGTCTCTTATATAGTCAACTGTTTGTTAAGTATTCAAGTCGCTACTTTCCAAATTCCCACTCTCGAGTTGCAAGAATACCTTTCACCACATTATTGTATAAATAAATAAGGCCTTGGATTAAGTGAACACATGAAGATCCAAAACTCAAATACCAGGATGACAATCTTTACGAATGGAGGAAACAAAAAAATACAAGTAGTAGCTAGCTTAAGCCGGTTACCCAACTATAATGTATTAAAACACGAATGGCATTATTCAACTCCATCTTACCTAGTTACCAACTGAAAAATGTGTGCAATAGCCATAGAAAGATCTCTTCCAAATGACAAAGGTACAAGTTACAACAATGAAAACTTCACTTCACATTTCCTCTGGGTCAACCATCTTTCGAATTATATCAATAAGACGACGGCACAGACTCACAGAAACCACATAAATTTGCACACCAGACACTACCTTAACTTGAGCAATCACATAAATAAGCTATAAGTTATAACCACGAATTTCAGAGAGGTTCATCTATGTAATGGACATGGGTAATGTCAATGATTCATGTCCCTGCCACATTGTCATTCTACTCCATGATTCATATTCACACCACATTGCCATTTGGCCTACCCTAAAATAACGCAAAACAAACTAAGAACACATGGAAGAGATGTCAATTCGATAGGAATGAAATGGATTGGTTGCTCATTTAGAATTGTTCTACACAAGTACAAAAGTCAAATATTAATCAGGTGTTTGCATGCATCTACAGGTAGTTCAAGCACGCGCAGGTTTTTGTATGTTAATCTGCATTACTAATCTTTCTAAGGAAGCAAGGTATAATTGTTCAGAACTAAGTGCAATAAATAGAACTTACCCACAGCGCTCAGCGCAGCTTTTAGATATGATTGTTGACTGAGCACCACTATCAACGAACGCCTGAAAGGAAGTGAAGCAAAAAGTCTACAATCAATCAAAGCAACAGGGAAGAGGATTTTAAAATACAAAGTAACAAGCTACACTACTCAACATCACCGACTCAAACTTCTAAACTTGAACTGTAAGCTATCTGCAACAATTAATCATTGGATTGTGCGAGAAAAACAACATAGAGCGCAGTACTTAACAACTGCATTAAAGACCAAGTAAGCATGTTCCAAGAGAGGGGGGGGGGAAAATGTTTAGCAGGCAATACAAGAAACACAGGGCTGTTACTGCATGTAGAATTAAAAACAAGTGTAACGATAAAAAATATAGAAAAGCATGGAAGCAAACCATGCTATTTCCCTTGTTACTACCTTCAAAGGGACACCATTGACTTCCATGTCAACATATAACATGACCTGAAAAGTTCAAAAATAATTTAAAACTCATTTACCAAGAAATAATAAGTACAGTTTTTACATGTGGCAGTCAATTACACATACCACCCTTGCAAAAGCTTCAGGATTGTGTTCAAGAGCAGCTGCCCAGTTCTCATCAATACCTTTCTGCAAACCATTTAAAAACAATGCAAAGAACCAAAGGGAAAGTAGTTATTTGAGAGAACAAATAGAAGGAAGGGGGAAAAAAACTAACAAGATAAGTAACACAATCAGTGGTAATTTCTTGTAAAATGTTTATATTACTGTCTGGGTTTCAGATACATATTTAAGGAAAGTACTCGTAGTCTGCCAAATACAATTTCTAGCACCAAAATGACAAGCTTATTTTTGAAATATAAAAAAATAATAAATAAATAAATAAGCACATATGTTGGCTCAGGGTATTCAATCCTGAGTAGCTTGATATTCGATTGAGCAAATATTTTGGGAAATATAAAATGAATGATGCTATAGTAAATGAGTTTCTCGCTAAATTTTATTTATTTATTAATTTTTACCACTACACAAAGATAATAAGATCCACATTGCTGAATACGCGTGAAACTCAAACCTTTATGTCTACTAATAAGAAATTTAGTATGAGTTTTAAAATAAATTTTTAAACCCCTGGTTACAATTTCATACTAAGTCGGAAACTCATACCTTGAGCTCTAACTATAAACTTGTACCTTCATCTGCTTTAAACCCCTATTTACAATTTCATATTTCGGTTGCGTTTGAACTTTGGGTTTATAAAATAAAATAAAGAAAAATGAAGTACAAGTTTTTTTTTTCACAAATTCAAAATTCGAGGTCCAAATAGGGCCTTAAAAAATTTCCTAAGCCATAAACCATGCCTTCTGTTGCCATTTAAGGTGGGGAGAGAGAGAGAGACTTAGATGATTAAGGGCAATATTTCTTCTTTCATTCGGTAGAGCTTAAACTTCTGAATTTCAATGTATAACATATGTACTGGCTGACCTTCACACACCTTGTCCAGTCTAAATTCTGAGTTCCAAATTCAATCCTGAGTAGCTTGATAAAATGTATACATAGTTCAATGGCTTTTATTAACTTTCATAGTAAAATTGTGATAAACATTAGAAATTCAAAATCATAATGTTACACATGCTTAGCATCAATCAATAATGTTGACTACTGTTATGTCACCCTATTTGATATTATAAATTATATCAAATTAGTGGTTCTTTAAACTTAAAACTATGTATGTATCACTGTTAAAAGGAGTATTGATTTAATGATGAAATAATTAACATACCTATTTAGAGTACACCAGCTAGTAAGATCAAACATAAACAAAATTGCTACTACATCTTTGCAAGCAATAGGAATTTGATCAAGTGACCTATTGTCTCCTACATCCAAATTAAAATTACAAACAAACAAACATTTTAAGTAAATAGAATCCAAATTTTTTAAACTAAAGAACGAAAAAATTACAGAGAAAGTATAACAGATCAGCAGATTTGACAATGAGAAAGTAGAGAATGAAAAATGTACCTGATATAAGAGCAAGAGAGATATGCTAGAACAGATCGATTTTGGATTTTGGATCTGCGATTTGATGAAGAACATATCGATTTGACGAAGAACAGAATGGATCGATTTGATGAAGAACAGATCGAGTTCGAGTTCGATGAAGAACAGCTAGAGCAAAGCCCTCGAGCGATAGAGATTGATGAAGAATAGCCAGAGAGTTCGATTGCGAGCGACAGAGATCGATGAAGCGCAAACCATCGAGGGTTGAAAATGAGAAATTGAGCGAGCGAGCGAGCGAGAGAGTGTATTTGAAACTGAGCGAGAGAGAGTGAGAGCTTCAAATCGAGGGTTTTGGAAGAGAGGGAAACTGAGTTGTGGTAGAAACTGAGAAAAAGAGGCTGAGTTTAAAGAGACGGAGGTTTTGACGGTCAATACATTGACCCAATACGGCGCCGTTTCACTGAGATCAGACACAACGTTTTTTGAAAACGTTGTGTTTCGTTAATTTATAGTGGCGTTTCCCTAAACGCCACAAAAAAAATGTTGTTGTAGACCATTTTTCCTGCAGTGTGTGTTTGATTTATGAATTTGAATAGAAATTTAAAAAGAAAAATAAAAAAGATGGATGACGTGTGAATAAAATTTAATTATATTTTATTTATATTTCATACATATAAATATATATTTTTTAAGGTCTTATCCAAATCTTAAACACAACCTAAATTCTCAATATTTTTTAAGTTTTAAATTCTGAATACTTTTTTTAAGTTGGTGTTATAGTATTGCTCATATTATTATCGCTCTGCCAAATTAATAGTTTAATACTTTTGTCGATAGACCACATGAGAATAACTTCTTCTTTTTTTTATTCAAAAAATGGATATGCAGATAGGCTACTCCAACATATCCGGCAGGGAGTATTGTCCCTTAGCACTTACAGCATATCTATAGGGAATCCCACCGCACCTACGTAGGGGGCCTAACGTCAGAGTCGAAGCTTAGGCTCCCTACGTGCTCCAGGCTAATGAGTATGTTTAACCCTAACAAGATGCTATGAAGACTTGAACTCAAGCCTTGAGCGAGGAATTCGAAGCTCTTATCCAGTGAACCAATTCTCTATTGGTAGACCACATGAGAATATCACCTCCACTATTATCCAAACAAAAAAAAATTAAAAATCACCAAGTATTAAACTATTAATTAATGATTTCACTGACGCAATGATTGGTAAATTTCCCCCCTATAAATGCTCCTTCGTCTCTTCCACTAATCTTCGGTGCAACACAGAGACTATTAATCCCTGTTTTAGTACATCAAATTTCACAGCAGCCATGTTAGACCTCGAGCTTTCAACTTCATTTCTCTTTTGCATTCTTTCTTTGCTCTTCTTGTTTATCATCAATTCCAAGTCCATTTTCACAACCTTTTTTTCGTCCAGTTCCAAGTCCTCTAAGATTTCCGCTAAGATTCCAAGATCATACCCACTTATCGGCTCCTTCCTCGCATTCTATTCCTATCGGCACAGAGTCATCCAATGGACATCGGATGCCGTGACCAGCACACCCACTTCCACTTTCGTCCTCAACCGCCCTCTCGGCCGCTGCCAAGTCATCACAGCCAATCCTTCCAATGTTCAGCATATTCTCAAAACGCATTTCCATATCTACCAAAAGGGCATTATCATTCGAACACATGTCTCTGACCTACTCGGCGATGGCATCTTTAATGTCGACGGTGAGAACTGGAAGTTCCAGAGACAAGTTGCTAGCCATGAATTCAACACCAAATCTTTACGTAAATTTGTCGAGACCGTTGTCGATACTGAGCTTTCAGACCGCCTCATTCCGATCTTATCCTCCGCTGCTGCAAACAAAACTGTGATTGATTTTCAGGATATTCTTCAGAGATTTGCCTTCGATAACATATGCAAGATCGCTTTCGAACATGATCCTGCCTATTTGCTACCATCACTTCCGCAGGAGAAATTCGCGGTAGCCTTCGACACTGCTGCTCGAATCAGCGGGGAAAGGTTCAGAGCCTTTCATCCCCTGTTTTGGAAAACTAAACGGTTTCTCGACATTGGATCTGAGAAACAGCTTCGAATTTCTGCTAATAAAGTTCGGGAATTCGCAAAAGAAATAGTCAAAGAAAAGAAGCAAGAACTGGGTGAAAAATCATCGCTCGAATCCGTTGATCTTTTATCACGATTCTTAAGTTCTGGACATTCAGATGAAAACTTCGTCACCGATATAGTCATTAGCTTCATATTGGCGGGTCGCGACACCACATCGGCGGCCTTGACATGGTTCTTCTGGCTAATCTCCAGTCACCCAGATGTGGAAAATGAGATTCTGAAAGAGATCAATGAGAAGTCGGAAGCTACGACTTTTGAGGAAGTGAAGGGCATGGTTTACACGCACGCATCGTTGAGCGAGAGCATGAGACTCTACCCGCCGGTCCCCGTTGACGGAAAACAAGCGGCGGATGACGACGTGTTACCGGATGGGACGGTAATCAAGAAAGGTACGAGGGTGAGTTACCATCCTTACGCAATGGGGCGGTCGGAGAAGCTGTGGGGTTCGAACTGGGCAGAGTTTCGCCCAGAGAGGTGGTTGGAAACGAGAGACGCGGCGGCCGGAAAGTGGAACTTCGTGGCGAGGGATCCATACACATATCCGGTGTTCCAGGCAGGTCCGAGGATATGCCTTGGGAAGGATATGGCGTTCTTGCAGATGAAGAGGGTGGTTTCGGGTGTGTTGCGGCGGTTCAAGGTGGTGCCGGCATTTGAGGAAGGTGTGGAGCCGGTATTCATGGCTCATTTGACATCGAAGATGAAAGGTGGTTTTCCGGTGCGGATTGAGGAGAGGGCTGGGAGTTTCTGAGGCCGGCATTGTTCAATTGACTGATGTAACTACTGGTATTCTTCTTCCTATTCCAAGTGTCAAAACAGTAAAAACAAGCAAGTAAATATGATTTTGGTGGATTGGTTTCAGCTTTGATTCTTTTCCATCAATCGTGTCTGTATGTTTTTATTTTATTTTGTTAATCTTTACTTTTTAATAGTGAATTTCAATTCATTGCCGGTATCATATCGGTAATGATACATCCCACTAAAAGTGGTGCTCTAAAGCACCACTAATGAGTTGGCAATCACTTTAAATAAATAAATAAATAAAAAATAAGACACAAGCAGTGGGTCCCGTCCACTGCCACATCACTAGTGATGCTTTTAGAGTATCACTTTTAGTGGTCTCAAGCATTATTGGTATCATATTCATTCATTTCATGTACGATTCGCTACAACTTAGAGAAGTTCTAGACGTTCAACAATTTTTTAAATGAAAATTTACTATAAAATATAATATATTACGTCACCAATTCCAGTTGTTATCTAGGCGTTTTGAAAAATACAAAAATAATTTTTAGTCATGAAATTTACAAGAGAAAATGTAGGGATCATGAAAAAACTTTCATGAAAATAATCATGAAAGATTTATAATTTTTGGATTATCTTTATTAGTGTGTGGTGCTTTATTTTAACTGTAATCTAAGGGTCATAAATCTTTCATGATCATTTTCATGAAATTTTTTTCATGATACCTAGCATTGCTCAATTTAAAAAATAATGCTAATAAATAAAAGGAATAAAATAATATGGTGTTAAAAATGTTTTTATATATTGGAGGCAGATCCCCTCAAGTCCAATTGGATTGTAAGGTGTTGTTTGGGCCGGTGGGGCCTATTACGAGTCTATTCCGATGATCTGAACTGTTTATTTTGTTAAGAATTTCGTATATTTCATTTATAAAAAATATTAGGTTGATTCAATAACTGTAATTTGTTTAATTTATTATTTTTTTTACTAAAAAAATAGACGACAGTTGTATATTTAAAAATAAACCATATTTTTTTTTGATGAAAAACATAATAAATTGGACAAGTTATAATTATCGGATTGACTTTTTTTATTTTTTTTATTTTTTATGAATGAAATATACGAAATACTTGACAAAATAAGTTGGATCACCAAAATAGGATCCGTAGTAGGTTTCAGGGGCCAAAATAACACCCTTTAGTCTAAAAGGAATTCTCTTGGTTGGAAAAGAAAAATAATTTATTATTAAATGTTCAATTTTCATTACTAAAAATATAATAATGACACTTATAATAACAAATATTTAATTTCTAAAAACGGATTTATCTTTAAAATATCCCAAATATTAATTTATTGAAATGATTCGTGGATTTATGTCTTTTTCCATTGAAGCATTGTTGGATATGCTTTCTAAAATTCCGAATAAGAATATTATTACGCGTTCGTCACTCACAAGGACCTATTCTCATTGCAATAAGACATGAGATTACAACAACCAACTCCAGTTGGGTTTAGGACTACTAAACTTAGGTGGTAGAGTTTGTTTTATTTGAATACAGTGAAATGAAATCATAATTCTATCAAAATGTTGATTTTATATTTGGTTGATTAAAAAAATAATAAAATATATATTCAAAATAGAATTATCATTTTTATCATTAAAATGAAATTACCATTTTATTTTATTTTTTTTATTTCATTTCAATGAACTAAATAATATAGGCGTCGTGGCCTGTGGCAAAGTATGGAATTCAGTGATGATAAGGCACAAATTAATAACAATATTAAGTTTGTTCTTTTTTTCATAATAAACAATAATGAGATGTTACTAATCTTAAATATTAAGAATCTATTCGGATAGATGTGAATTTTAAATTAAAGGATTTGAGGTACAATAAGGGAAGGGCCAATCTTAGTTTTGCAGCAATATTAATGTGAATCTCTCTCTCTCTCATTTTTATATTATTGGTATCAAATGAAAATAACATACACTCATCCAAATTGGGATTTCACTCATGTTCTATACAATACATTTCTCAATGAATTTCTCCTCTGTTTTCTTGCTTTCTTTTGTAGGTAAATTCTGTTCTAGGTAAAGCTCAATTCTATGCCTTTCATCACTTGGACATCATACCTTACAATTAAACAAAAACTTTAAAACAGCATACCTTCTCAAGCTTATCCAATCATATTTGGCAAATTTGGTGAAATTTATCTTACATGGTGTTAACTTAATAAAAAGAATAATTCACTCTCACCAACACAAGATATGAGAGTGCAAAGTATATGTAGTCTCTTCTCTATTTTAAAAATAAGTATAAATAAGTGTTTAACTGATAATGGTGAGGTTGACAACTAATTCAACATGGCATGTATGCTTTTTTAGTTATTGATATATATATATATATTGTGCATCACATGTACAATTGGGTTTGCTTTGTTTTTGAAGCCTCCACCATCACCAACCCAGAATAACTATATGTACTTGCTTTTGTCTCTCTTTTTTTTGCTCCTGCTTTTGCTATCATTGTTTTTATTTGGCTCATAGCCTCAATCCATCCCAAAAAAAATTAAAAAAAATTAAACACATTGTACATATAGTAATGTTAGGGATGAAAAACTTATATACAAAAAAAAGATCAAGATAAATAATGTATGATCTAGATGCATCTAAACTATGGATCACTTGATATTTTTCTATGTATGAATTAGTCTCTAATATTACTATTGTACATAAGCGTATAAATAATTTGAGTAGTAAATTGTTCTGACTTAATTTAAAATTTTAACAATAAGCTTATAAGGATTAACAAAGTGTTTGTGAATTTTCAATTATGCGTTGCCAAAATGAATTATGAACCAGTTACTTCTAATCATCCATATTATTCTAAACCAAACATAGTCCAATATGCCCAACAGGTTCATTGACAAGCAACCTTTATTAGGTCATGTTTGTGATTAGTCGGTAAACAAGGGAAATTACAAAGTTTAATTTAGTTGGTATGTGCATTGAGAGAGGATGTAGAACGAGATGTTTTGATGTGTAGAAATAGAATTACCCTATGTTTGAATGACAGTAATACCTTACTATGTTTCATGATTTTACCGTCTAGATATAGCTTGAATGGAAATGTGATTCTTGATTAACCATTATAAGTAGGTTGAATCTAATCTCCACTTCTCTAGTAATCTCACATTCCTATGTCTAAAAAGATCAAACTAAACTCAAATTACTGGGAATGAGATTCCTCGCAATGAGATATTCATTCCTAATCTTTCATTCCTCATAATTATTTACATTGAGCCAATGAATGAACTAGTGAGCTGTGAATGAACTAAGTTGGAGCTAAGGGGAGAGATGTGAGTGAGTGGAATATAAGAAAGAATTAATGTCATGAAGACATTATATATATATATATATGCTTAATTATTGTATGAACCCCAAAGTTTCTCCTTATATCACGGATTAATAAAATCTTCAACCCTAAGGCAACTATCATGGGTCCCCTTAGCTTAATCCAAGCATTTTACATGTCTCCTTAATCTCAAACAAGAATTATAAACAAGTCTAATGTAATATTTATTAATTATAGGGCAAACATGCCTTATGAGAGGTATGACTACGTGCATCCCAATTAACATATGAGGTGTATAAAGAAGTGGGAGAATGTTTAAGAAAATTATTTTTACAAAATATAAAGGGCGTGATACATATTAGCGGATGTATACAATAAAACTTATCACTATTTAATTCACACAACGATTATTATGTGAATTCATGTAAATAAATAAATAAAAATATTGTTGAAATACATTGTTTCACAAAGTTGTCAAAAAAAAAAAAACAAAAACAAAATAAGAGAGACAAAAAAACAAGAAAAAAAAAAAACCCCTTATATAAACATTGATTATATAGTCTATGCTTCATTGGTTACTTTATATGAAACGAGGCCCATGAGGAACCTTCTGCACTCGAATAGCACCCTTCAGTCCATAATCTAGACTGAAGAAAACAGTTTCTATTTTTTTTTTTTTTTTTTTCTGTCCTAACAGAGAAATGAAAAGAATGGAATGGGTATCCTCATGAACAAAATAAGATATTAATATGACATCTGAGTGTTTACGTTACGTTAAGTAACAAAATATAGATAACCTTTCTACTTTAGAAGGTTCTGATGTTTCAGTTGAGGACAATAGTTTTGTTATATATGACAATCGTTTTGATTTAAATTAGTGAGGGGGTAATTTAGGAGAAGAGGTTGGGCCGAGCTTGATCGATCTACCTTAACTTTGGGCCGAACTACGGGTCGGGGTTAGAGCTTTAGATAGCTCGATCCCAGGTCATCTGGGGACCAAGATGGGCAGAGACGTAGTCAAAGGTCTGACTTGGCTATCTAAAGCTAAGCCTGGAAAGCTGGCCGTGGTGTTAGCAAGGAGACAGGCCGAGCTAAGTATAGCTTAGCAGAACACCATCTACGTTATTATTGTATTAAGAGCACGGCAGAGACAAGCTAGCTCGGCTGACCGTTTTGACCAAGTCGAGGTAAAAACCATCTTAGTAGGTCAGCAGTGAGCAGAGTGTTACCAGAATAGGTATTATCCTTGGGAGTTGGAGTCCTACTAGGATTGTACCAAGTAGAATCTATAAAAGCTCATGGTAGGACCTATGTACAGGTATCTGAATTCTTACTCTGGAATACACTGAGCTTTTGTGTCTATTGTCTATTTGTTGACTTAGGTATCGGAGGTGTTTCCTGTACACACCTGCCGGCTAGCTCACGTTTGTGTTTTCAGGTAGTAAAGCGACGACGTTTGAAGGAGTGCAAACTTGATCAACAGGATTATACGAGAAGATTATTTTGTGCTCGTACAATTAGCGCCGTCTGTGGGAAATCACACAAAGAACAAACCTTTTGATTGAGTTTTCTCTATAGTTAAATTCTATGGTGCACAATGATGACTTGCCATACTCTGCTATTGACGGGCAAACCCCGGAAGGGGACGGGAGGCGCAAAGGTTTACCTTTTATCCCGCCTATGGAAAAATTAGATCCCCAATGACGGAACCCACGGAGAGACACACGACAGAGGAGGGGCTCTAGTCCTCATCGCTCCCAAAGCCCTAACAGGCAGAGGCGGATGATGGATCCTCAGGTTCTGGAAGATCGCGTAAGGGAGCAAGACGAATTAATACGGAGGATGGC